TTTTTTTTTTTTTTTTTTTTTTTTTTTTTTCTGTTTATTTGACACACGTAAAAAAAATATATATCTATATTTATACAAATTGTAATATAATTTTTCTTCTTCAGGTCACCAGACGTCTGCTTAGCAGAATCCAGGATGCCTTGGAAGGTGTTGTCCTCAGTGTAAGTAGTTTAGAATGTGCATTGAAACGGCTCATCTCTATGCAACCTTCAACCAACCAATCAGCTTGTCCCTTTCCTGTTGCTAGGGCAGGTTGGGACCGAAAAGGAAGATGCTGAGGCTAGTTATTTAAGTCATACGGAACACTATGTTTATGGAGATCTGCATAGCTCCAATCTACAGACATATGAATATGTGTGGTCTCCTTTTTTTGTAGCTTGTCAGGTCTGAATCTGAAACCCTTAGGAGTGTTCCTTCCTGTGTGGTCACAAGTGATATAGTGCAAAGATGCACCCTGGATACTTCTCAATCCCATTTTTTTGGTGGTTATTTTTTTTTTTTTCTTTTTACATAATAGGACAGAGGAATATTTCATTCATGTTCCAATGATTTGTGCCAACCCTGACGAGAAGTGAAGGGAAATGTCACCAGCAGGGACACAAGTAAAAAGACACTGAGGGGAATTTTATAAAATCTGGAGCAGCTGTGCATGGCAACCAATCGGCTTTTCTCTTCCATTTTCAAATCTTAACTGAACAAACTGAAGAGTGAAGCTGATTAGTTGCCATGCATATCTGCTCCAGATTTTGTCTGCTCCAGTTTTGATACATTCCCTTCTTTTTGCTTACAGTCTGTCATGTTTTTTTAAGAGAAGTAAAGCCAATTCCTTTTTTGGGGCTTATGTCACAGGAGTACATATACTAATATATTCCTGTGACCCAAAGTCCACCCCGGATGCTTAGTTGAGTGCCAGCCCCGTACCCATCTGTAGCTTTAGCCAGCACTGGAGGAGAAGTGTGTGGGGGAATCCCTGCGGGGCAGTGCGACAGTCTGAGTGGATTGATCAGTGGTCATGTGATCGGTCAGCGTTCGGTCTTAGAATGAGCGTGGCACTACCGAGCTTCGCAGGACATTCCCTGAGTAGGGTGTATGCCTTGAGCATTGAACCTCCCACAATGTTTTACAATGTTAGCAGGGTTCTGGTGTGCAGCAGACAGAACATTCCATGGAAGGTATTAGAATACCAGCTTCCGTTGGGAACAACCTGGAAATACACTTCTTAAAACGAATAAAACTTGATTGTGTGAAAAGAATGAGTGTGGGACAGCAGCAGCATATCAGGTCAGCTCTAAGTATCAGAGGGAGTATGATTTACTTTCCCCGTACTTCTACTTTAAAGTAGAACTAAGGGCCAAAAAAATGCATTGTGTACATGTCTGCAATACAGGCGCATTCCCCGTGTTTTTTTGTCTCTCTCTTGATAAGGCTGCAAGTACTTGGGGGAGGAGATTCCATCTCGTGATGCTGTCCTGGAAGACGTTATGGGAAATACCCATCGATCTGTCCGAAATCCAGCAAGCTCCTAACTTCCTGTTTGAGCTGACAAGTCTGCCTCTTCTGCACTGAAATCCCAATCCGTGTTGTCGGCCCTGACTGAGTTCTGCTGTGCTAGACTTCAGAGCACCTCTCGCCTATGTTTTGGAGCAAGGGAAGTGTTTTGTAGCCTCACGCACTTCCTTGCCAAGTGATCAAACTGCTCTTCCATAGATGGTGTTTGCAGTAGTGTGTGAGCAGTGTAACCCTAGGACAGGAAATGCGTTTCTAGCAGTGTTAGCGGGAAAAAAAGAAGACAATTGTAGCCACCACACTGAAGGATTGGTAGGCTGCAGTATTTATTTTGGATTAAATATTCTTTTACGCCTCCTCATACTTAAGATAGGTGTACCTATGGGTGTCGGGTAGTGGCTTTGCCATCCCCATCTCATTTTACCGTTACAGTTCCCTATGTCACCTTTCTATGTCTCCGCTGTTGCTGTCCATGAATCCAGTCTCCCGCTGCACTCCATTAAGCATCAGGGTCATCCCGGTGTTCCTTGCTAAAAAGATTAATTGGCTGAGTGGGCCCTTCCTCCTTTTAACGAGCCTGTGTGTGGAAAGGCTACCATAAAATAAACTGGTGTATATTTCTCCTCAAGTGGCTTGTGACTGCTATTGATCTAGTCCCTGAAGACTGGCCCTCGCCTTTGTCATTCACAGAAGCGTTCTTTGTACTTTTACAGTGACCCTGACCCTACATTACCAAAATTAAATAAGCGGCACCCTATAGAAATAGGTTTCATAGCTGCCTCTCCGGTTGGCACGGAGTAAATTCTTTGCCGTCTTGAGGAGCTCACAATCCAACGCACATTGCTGTAATGCTTAAACTGAACTCCTGGCAAAACTTTTACTAATACTAGGGATGTACCGATAACAGTTTTTCAGTAACCAGTACCGTTTTGTTTTGTGTTTTTTTCTGTACTCGCCGATACAGATACCGTAAGTCCCATTAAAGAAACCAAGCGGCATGTCATGACTCCCGCCCAGCTTTCCGATTAGCTGGGAAGCAGTCACCAGGTGACGAGGAAGCATAGTCGGCTTTCTGGCCAATCAGGAATCCAGGGGGTGGGTAATGACTCGCCGCCTGGCTTCCGGATTGGCCAGCTCATCGGTCAATCAGCATCGAGCCACCTTACCGGCCAATCAGGAAGCTGGGCGGCGTGTAATGACTTGCTGCCCGGCTTCCTGATCCTGGAAGTTCTGGTATCGGGATAGGCATTGGGAGCATTTGTGCGAGTACTTGCCCAAATACTCTGTATCGGTGCATCCCTAATTAATACAAAAAGAGCACCTTCTCTATTGCAACAAACTTTATGAAATGGGAATAAAATCCAAGAACTGTACTTGCAAAGATACATGTGCACAGGACCTTTGCCCTGACGAAGGGGGCGTGGCCCTGAAACCGCGTCAGCCATGGGCAGTGTATGCAAAAGCACCGGCTGTATGCTGGTCTGCAGTTCAAACGCCAGTATTTTTCTGCTTATCCTGGCTTGTTGAGGGAGCCGCTGTATACGGTGCCATTAAGTGGAAGGTGCTTTGCACATGGATCTTTGTGAGTAGCTTTCTTGTATTTATCCCTATTCAATAAAGTTTGCTGCACTGGGTAAGGCGCTCTTTTTCTCTTGTTTTTGGTCCAGATGAAATTCTAGTCTCCCTGACCGTTGGGCTGCCTCTCAGTGCGGGTTATTTTCCACATACTTAAGTTTCTGGCTAAGTCTACTGGCGTTAGTGGAAGTACTGGTTTCTAAAACTACCCCCGCACTACAAGGAATAACTGTTCATTTTGGTCTAGGGATGCAAATAAAAAAGTTATACTCACCCGATCCTCTGAGCCAGCTTGCTCTTAGACTGGTCCATCCAGCCTTGCTCCCCCTTCGCTGCAGCGATGTAAGGTCCCTGAGTCCTCACGTTCTTTACAATGTGTATAGGACGTGAGGACAGCAAGGGACATACCATCGCTGCAGCATAGGAGACCAGCTGGAGCTGTTGCAGCCGGTCAGCTCAGAGGATCGGGCAAGTTTAACTTTATTTTCCTCCCTAGACCAAAAGCAAGCATGTTAACCTTTGCAATGCGGGGGTTTTCACCACTGCAAGGGTTATTAAGTCTTGCCTGCAAAAGCTATTGCAGCAAAAGCTGTTTTTTTATTTTGTCTTTTAAATTGGGCTATTTGTTTTGTTTTTGGCTAGTTCTGCTCTAACCTGTTTATCTTTTGGAAACACTACATCCCCTTCTGTGAAAGAATACCATCACTTTCAGTGCCCCCAGAACACTTATGAGTAAATGTTGGAAAGTTTGAATCTCTATTCCTTCTGCCTTTAAAAGGGTGGCTCTGAACCATGGATGAAGCGTCTGCTCCCATGATGCAATGCAGCCTTTCATTCTATTGCTCTGTGTATTCTGTGCTGGTGGTGCATTGGGCACAGTCGCAATATTCAGGAGTCTTTGACACTAGACTGCATGTTAGGATGTAAAGAGGATTATGAGTAACATTATCTGATTTCTGCATCTTCTCCCTTTTTTAAAAGATTAATCATTTTTGTAACTGGATGGTTTTCCAGTGAAGTATCTTTTTATATTGTGGTCTGATCTGTTATTTCTCTGTATTTCAGCCAAAGCTGGAGGAACGGGTGAGGGACATCGCCATTGCCACCAGGAATACGAAGAACAACAAAGGCCTTTACAGGAATATTTTAATGTATGGTCCTCCAGGGACTGGAAAAACACTATTTGCCAAGGTAACAGACTTAACATGGCCATACACAATGAGAGGCTGAATGGGGAGAAAAAAACATTCCTGTTGCATTTCCTACAATAGCTTCGGCTGTTGTATTCTGACAGTGGTGGGTGTTCTTCTGCCAGAATACCTGAACAGTAGCCGCAGCTGCACTAAGAATTTTCTGATCGAAGGTTCTCGGGCAGGATAGTATATGCTGTGACTTTAGAATTCCTTCCATTCTTCTGGTATTTCCGAATTGCAGTAAAGAGGACCGGTCATAATTGGACTTCTGCAAGAATTTGTACATTTAGTCTTTTTTTAAAGGGACCCAGTCAGTTTTCCTGTCTGGTTTTGGCCGCAAGGCTCATGCACTGTGTAATTTGCACAGTTATCGGTTTACTGTACAACGTGGTGCAGAAATCGCGCCTATTGATTTGTGGGCTGAGAATGCTGGGCTGTGTTGCTACCCAGTGTGGTTGTCTTTCTAATTGAGAAATGGGCTATATTTATATGACACACACACACAGCACTCTGGTTGATGGGTTTGATATCCCCCCCCCCCCCTCACTTCCCAAAAGAGAGATTTATGAGCGAGTTCCCTTGTGTGCATTAGAGAATGTTTAACAAGATCATTGATGGAGCCGCCAGTGCGGAATAAATGTCTCCCGAGATTGGAAGCCTCTCCGTTATGTTGGTTTGGTGTCCAGAGTATATGGAGCCTTGCAAACCACAGATTGATTGTAATTTTGGCTTATTGCCCAAATTGACAGTTTTTTTTTTTTTTTTTTTTTTTTTGTGGTCTCTTTCCTACAGAAATTAGCCATGCATTCTGGCATGGATTACGCCATCATGACTGGTGGTGACGTCGCCCCCATGGGGCGAGATGGAGTTACTGCAATGCACAAAGTGTTTGACTGGGCAAACACTAGCAAGCGCGGGTGAGTAACCAAGAAACTTCCATAACCCAATATTGCCGTTCTTTCACAGCAGCACCAGAATGGGGGGTGCACACCGGCCGAACCCGTCTCGCTCCAGCATCAGGAGATACCCTCTGAAAGAAAATCCAGGCGCACACCGCAAGCTTGCTGAAAAGTTTATTGCAGCACACTGGTACACGTCGTCCCTCCGTGGATCCTCTTCACTCTGACATGTTTCACCCAATAATGGGCTTAGTCATAGAGATCTCTATCTTTGTCATATAGAGATCGCTATCTCTCTTGACTAAGCCCATTATTGGGTGAAACATGTCAGAGTGAAGAGGATCCACGGAGGGACGACGTGTACATGTGTGCTGCAATAAACTTTTCAGCCAAGCTTGCGGTGTGCGACCGGACATTCTGAGAAACCAAGAAGTCTAGGGCTTAAAGATGAATTCTTCCAAATACTGATTTGCAGCTGAACTAACTGCATAACAAGCCTGTGCAGTACCAGAGCAGCATCCCTGGTTTCCTGTGGCTGTAACGCATGGAATAATTAAAAAGAAATTAATATTGTGTGGCTGCTACTACTCTCCAGAGGGGGGCCTGAATCAAGGGGGATTCCTGCAGAGGGGGCCTGAATCAAGAACAAAAAACATTGCTTCCATGAACCAAATGGAGGTCCTTCCTGTATCTTAATGAGTAGTGGGATGGGTAGAGACACAACACTGCTCCCACTGACTCCCTTTGGTGTATGGCACGCACAGACGGAAATAATTTTGGACGTGTTCGAAAATCCTCTAACTTGCATGACCATAGATTACAGGAAGCCACGCGTTACAGGATGCCGACATCCTACCTGTAATAATGTTGGAGGTCCACTGGGTTTGCAGAAATCATGCAGCAGCACTGTTGTCTTGTGAACATGGTAGTCTTTGCTGGAGTTGGATGTTAATTAAAAACTACATGTTAATCTAAGCCCTCGTTCACACGACTAACAGCCGGCCCAGTATTTTCAATACATTTCCCCATGCATTTGTTTATTTGTTCTCCACATTTACATGCAGATCAAGCTGTCTGCCAAAAGTGACGGGTTGGGGACAAACCATAAAACATTACGGGAGGGTGCCTACAATGGTCAACTGTTATTCAGGGTTACTGTTACAGTTTAGAAAGTGTTAGCCCTCATTCACACAACTAACAGCAGGCCCATACAGATCCGTGCACGGCGCGATCAGGCCGCTCCCGGGAAGGACAGGCGCTGCGTGTGATTCGTACGCAGCATCTGTTCTTCTCTATGGGAGTACACGGCCGTACGCTCACCCGAACTGCACATCCGTGCTGGTGTGGGTGTCCCTGCTCGGACGCAGACAGGATCCATCCTGTCTGCGTACGTACGGGCACCCACACGGAGATGAAGTTCGGGTGCGCGTATGACGGCGTACTCCCATAAAGAAGGACATGTTGCTGTGTGTCTGCTGATGTTTTATGGTTTGTCCCAACCCCTGTCACTTTTGGCAGACAGCCTGATCTGCATGTAAATGTGGAGAACAATATAAATCATGGGGAAATTTAAAAAAATACTGTAATTACAGATATTTTTCCAATACAGTTAATGGGGTACCTCCTCATGTATCGCTTGCCCCTCTCTTTTAAATTGTAAGCCCTCATGGGCGGGGCCCTCCTTGCCCTCTTGTCTTGAATTGTATTGTGATTGTAATATCCTTATATTGTAAAGCGCTGCGCAAACTGTTGGCGCTCTATAAATCATGTATAATAATACAATATGTTTTAATGCATCATTCACAGCAGAAATAAGTCGTGCTTTAACGTACACTGCGTACACTAATGTTGGTTTATTAAATTGTCTGTCAGCTCTGCGAATGGGCTGACCGGCTCCATAATGTTATGTGCACTTGTCGGCACCCTTGGATTGATGAAAACTAATGCTTAGGATTCTTAGGTCTGATTCCCGTCTCTCTCTCTCTTCACAGCCTTTTGCTTTTCGTGGATGAAGCAGATGCTTTCCTAAGGAAGAGGTCGACGGTATGTAATCACTTTGTCATGCAGTTTCCTAAATATGGTTTGTCATAACCTAGTTAAACAGATCGTGTTTTAGAAGTCATTTATCCAAAAGATTTGTAAAGGAAATGCAAATTATTTTTGTGTGCCACTTAAAGTGGTATGAACCCCTTCCATGACTGAGCTTTTCTTCAGTTTCTGTTTGTTAATGACTGACACACTTTTTTTTTTTTTACATTTTTGCTGTGTGATTCTTGCACGGCAGTAATATACTTTCTTACCAAATGCACCCACACATATTCTACATTATTTTTAGAGGACAGATAGGGCTATATATTTAGATCGCATATGTGCGCCTAACGGCTCACATGGTATGAATAACAAAACAAAAGAGGAAAAACTTAAAGAAAACACTTTTTTTTTTTTTTTTTTTTCCCCCAGTTTTGATTAATTTTATGCATTGAAATAAATTCATTTATTTGTTCTTTCATATTGAAACACCTCACATCCCTAGGATTTCAGAAATGTGTCTCTACTTTTCAGCCTAAAACTACTAAAAGCTAACATTTTTATTTTTGTTCCTTTTTAAAAACCAATAGTGGTTAGGTGGCTTACAATGTCGCTGTCATTGTCACAAACTGTCACACTTAGGGACAGCGACATACTTTAGACAACAGCGTCATGAGGGAGGTAAAAACATTTTTTAAATGAACCCTTTAGGGTGAAAAACAAATCTGCAGCTGAGCTATCTAGCAGAAAGGCTTAGTTGGCCTGTTTGACAGTCCCAGTAATTCAGGCTATTATGGTGCCGCTATTGATCCTTGTGACTACTCTTCCAGGCCACCCAAGATGAGCCATGCTAAATCACAGCCACTGCAAATTTGCTTGTTTTAATAAATGCTATACAGAAATATGGATCATGATGTGTTTTAACCTGCGTTTGATAATTCCCTATAACTTCAAATGCAAAATTAGCATGTGCTGAGAAGGAAGGCTAAGACGGGCTACCACAGAAATCAGAGGCAATTGACCATAGTGTAACTCGGCACTCCGGACAGAATGACCGCATTGGTATCTTTTGGACACAATCATGGTCATTTCACATGAGCGAATTGCAGGATACCCAGCTAAATAAAAACAGATGCGATTGGACAGCTGTCTCCTCTGCTTTGTTTTCAGGAGAAAATCAGTGAAGATCTGAGAGCTACACTAAATGCCTTTCTCTACAGGACTGGAGAGCAAAGTAACAAGTGAGTTGTGAGCTGGTCCTGTGACACAAGTGTGTGCCACCGGCTGATGGAGAAATCATGTGTGAGGTGTACATGTCTGATCCATTTAATTTTTTTTTTAAAGAACAATATTTTATTTGTATATAATGGTACAAAAACAAAGGAAAGTAGTACAAAAACAACATAAAATAAATAATAACATAATACATAAAACAAATATATAATTAGATTACAACATGAGTGATTCCCACCTCCCCTCCTTCCAGACATTAAATGAATATGTACACGTCAGGGTGCAATGCCATAATCTCCAAGACAGTCTCGGCCATTTCCTTGGCCACTTTTAAGATACCCTTTTTATTCTAGGGCCAAAACCTGAAGGCAGAGAAACTATAAAAGCTAAACAACCCATATATCCAGGGTTGAGAGGTGGGCTCCCTCCCTTCACACATAGATACAGATACACACACCAAAGACCAGAAAGAAAAAGGGGGGAAAGACCTAACTAAAAATAAATAATCAATTATAAATTCAACACTTCCATTTTGCAAATTATTAGTATCATCCATTTCTAGTTCATTGGGGGAAAAGTCTCACAGGAGGGGGGGAACATGAAAAGCCACAATTCCGGCCAGAGTTCCACCAGCCATTTTGGGGAGAGGCGCAATCCTCCTGGGTCAGGGATGGGTGCTGTGCCAAACTTTTCTGCAATAACATTTCATCTGCCGTGGGATCTCCATCTTGATAGATTATGCTCTCCTGTCACATGACACTGCTAGTGGATGGTTTAACGTTGTAATTGCCTCGGCATAAAACTTTCTTTTGGACTCTCTGTTAGACAGCCATGGGCACATCTCGTACATCACTGATGTGGGAAGGTTGATTTGAACCCACAACTGCTCAGAAGAGCAATCGTGGGTTTGGTCTACAGAAATGTGAGGAGCGTCTGTTTACTAATGGACTTCTGCGTTGAATGATCTCAGAAGTGCTTAGTACAGGATACTTTTGTGATTCAGGTGACCTGGCACCTGATAATGAGACTGGGCACCGTCCCTGATTTCCATCATTCGTGTACTGGTTTCAGTTTAGACCTCCCTGGGGCTCCGTTCACAAAGCTGTATTTTTTGTTTTGTCGTTTAGATGTTTTGCACCTTATCTGGCTCACCTCTATTAGGCCTGGTTCACACCTGGGCGTTTTACAGCGTGTTCCTACGCTATGTAAAACGCTCAACATGTGAAAACCAATGATTGCCTATGGGCATGGTTCCCACCTGGGCGTTTTTACAGCACGTAGGAACGCGCTGCAAAACGCCCTACGCCCAAAGAAGTTCCAGAGCTTCTTTGGGGCGTATTTGCCACGTGTATCCATTGGGATACAGCCAGGTAGCCCTCGGAAACGCACCTGTGTCGCTCGTTTTACCACGAAACGTGCATATTCGATACGCCCAAGTGTGAACCCAGCCTTAGATCTCCGTCCACAAAGGTGCATAACGCGCTTTTATTTAGCCTTCTCTTTAAGTAGCGGTATTTCACCACTGCTAGGGATATCTCAACACAGCGTTATTTTTTTGGCACTTATGATAAACATAAATGTCCACAAAGATTACTACAGTGGTTATCACTCCTTAAAAAAAAAAAAAAAAAATAGGGGTGAGCTTTAGTTCGTGTTTTTGGAGCAAAGCAGAAAGAGAGCCTTTTGAGTTGGTGATAAAATAATGTTTGAGGAAATAAGGCTATATGTTAATTTCATGCAAAGGAAAAGAATTCTGCATTTCTTTGAGATTTGTTTTAGAATTTAACATTTTGAGGTGTTGTTATGTTAGGATAAAATGGGTATTGGTGTTATAATAACTCATCCATCTTAGTGAATTGAGCCTCTTAACAGCAGACCTCTCCCCATACATCTCCTGTATACTATAGATCACTCCCATTCATTCATAATTGAGGATATAGTTAACATACCATATCCTCAATTATGTACACATACTCAGCGATCACTGATCACTGAGTACCTTGCTTTTCTCTCTGACACGCTGTCACAGGAGGCTGATCGAGCGGTGTAGAGAGGAGAGCCCAGCCTCCTGTGACAGCGCAGTCTCTGCCCCCACGCCGGAGTGTGATGGGCGGCTGAGCGGTGTGGGAGGAGAGACGCCGGCCGCTCACAGCGCTCTCGTCCTGCAGCGCTCGGCCGGCTGTCACCTTTTCTCCCCGCTGGAACAGCGCCCAGCGGGGAGAAAAGAAACCAGGCATGCGCCGATGTATCGGCCGAAACATGGCTCTTTCAGCATTATGCCAAAAGTGCCATTTTCGGCCGATATATCGGTGCATCCCTAGTTACAAGTGAGTAATGGCCCTAAAATTATTGCTCACACTCTGACGTTTGCGATAATATGTAACATGTGCGGTGTAATGGGCACAATTGTTGTTTTTGCGCGATGGCCCCCCGTCACATTTTTGCCCGTCTGTGGAGGTGGGGGACGTTAAAACATTTTTTACTTTTTCTTTTTAAACTTAATTTTATTATCACATAGCGGGCTAAGAAGACCCCTCCCTATGTGATATAAAATTACAGTGACAGGTCCTCTTTTTGGAGACATTAGCGGTCTCTAAGACCCCTAATGTTACCTAAGGACCCCCAGAGAAGCTAATGAAGCCGACATCTGCTTCACCAGCTTCTCTCTGGCGGTCTGGAGTGACACCTAAATGCGGAAGTGATGTAATAAACATGACTTCCGCACTCACAGAACGGGGAGGTGATCAGAGCGAAATCGTGTACTGACTCCCTCTGTTTTCCCTGCACGGATCCACAATGCCGGTACCGGATCGGACGCCTGGCATCGCGGCAATGACAGCGACGATGGCAGGTAAGGTAAGGAGAGGAGAGGGGGGGCCGCACAGAAAGGTACCTCATACAAGCCATTGGGCGTCTTTACAGATGCCGGACCGCCATTGCTGTCTGTTTCAAATTTTGGCAGTTTCCCGCTCATGCGCTCCAGGGGGCGAGCGGGCGCAGGTACGGGGGACGTTTTAAAATGCCCACCCGCTGCCATAAGGCTCCCGTCCAGCCGCTTCACTACGTTCAGCAGACGGGAGGTGGTTGGGAGACTGTTCAGGCCTTTTGCCTCACATTCCGGGCCTGATGGATATGGGGCCCTACTATCTGACTCCTCCCACACAAACGTCATGCGTTCATAGTCGCACACTTTTGCGGTATGTTACTTTTATTTACACACACAAAAACGCATGTCTTATTGACCGTGTTTGGGGTGCCATTCACTTCCATCATCCAATCATGTGCAAGCATACTCTACACACTGCTCTGGAATTGTCTTGTGTTGACATCATTGGTTACAGGCCTAAGAATCTGCTGTCCCCCGGATGAGTATGGACTCCCTGATGGCTTTACTGGTGTGTGTGTGTGTGTGTGTGTGTGTGTGTGTGTGTCTCCTGTGGGGAGATTTGTCCCTCTCTTTGTCCTGGTGACACCATCACTGAGACAGACGTGACAGGAAATCCAACATCTTAGAGTTGTCATGAATGGCGGAGATGAGGGAAATCCTTCTGATGGGGACAAATCTTCCAGTGACATCTGTCTGTAGCCGGCCATACAATGCGAGATCTTCTCTGACGTCTCACTTTGTATTGTGACACCATGAAGGAGGGGAACCCCCAACTTTGTATTGTGACAGCATGGAGGAGGGGAATTCCCCACTTTATATTGTGACAGCATGGAGGAGGGGAACCCCCACTTTATATTGTGACAGCATGGAGGAGGGGAATTCCCCACTTTATATTGTGACAGCATGGAGGAGGGGAATTCCCCACTTTATATTGTGACAGCATGGGTGAGGGGATCCCCCACTTTTTATATTGTGACAGCATGGATGAGGGGATCCCCTACAGTGACTGCAGATGATGGACTTCACTCACTGTTCAGCCAATAATTTCAGGTCTAGCTCCTTCCACAAAAGTTGAACAATGGACTTTGATGGAAGTGAGGGGTGCAGATGGGGCCACACACTGGTTGAATTTCTGCAGGATTCGGCCAGCCTAAGATGGGAATTCCCCTGACTTTGGGAAGCACTGCTCTCCCTACATGTGTGTAACGGCAACCGTCGTCCTCCGCATAGGGGTCGCGGTTCCGTTACAGCTCCACCGCTCCCCAGGACGGCCGCTTTGCGTTCCACGCTGGAACGCTGAAGACACTCGTCTTCCGGCCTCTGATAGCGTAGGCTGCATTCCACGCTGGAACGCGGAAATTGCTCCGAGCCGACCAGCGCTCCTCCCACTTCCTGGCCCTATTTAAAGCCCCAGCTGAGATAACATGGCGTTCCACTATTGAGGTCAGAACGCCTGTTATCTCCTGGAACCTTTGCTGGAACGCTCTCTCTCAGCACTATACTGGACCCGGATTCTTCACCTGCGACCATTCTGCAACCTAACCGTACTCCTGCTTGATCATAAAACCACAAGTACCTTGGGGAAAACTGGCTCCCTTCTGTGTTGCATATACAAATATATACTTGGACTAAATCTGCAACTGCATTGGATGTGTACCTCAATTACCAGCTGAATTACTTACTCCATACTGACTGTGTTGCTGATTTCTAGTTATAGTTATTATAGCTTTGTTTCATTAGTTGCTGCTCATATATTATTTACGGATAATTGGGGGTACGGTATGAAGTAATATCCTGCCTGAAAGCAATTACATTACTTTTAACTGTGGCTATGAGGCTCTAGTCCCTAACTCTCCGCTAAGATTGAGAGTGACGCCAGGGACTCTTGCCTGAGAAGCCTCCGCAGTTGTGATCCACCCCCTCAGTACCTAAGTAGGCGTTCCAATGTGTCCAGGAGAGAGGGCAGTTCTCAGCCTCCCAGGGGAATATGGACACATAATGAAGGGGTGCAGCTTCTGGGTGCTGACAACACTGGGGGGATCAGCTATTACAATGGAGGCTGAATAACATTGTCCGCCCAGACCCGGAACTCGGGTTCCTTTCAGTAATACACATGGATGG